CTGATGCACTAGCTTGCTGTAGACCTGACAACTTGGCTACGATTTGGTCGACCAAGGACTCCTGATTTTTCTTGATGGACTCAAGAGTACTTTCACTGTTCTGAGCCATCTTATCTTCTAGTTCCTTTTGAAGTCTTGCCATGTGCTCTTCGATTTTCTCCATTCTGGCTTCCATTTGTCTCTTTTTTGTTCGAGTATTGTGCGGGTGATGTGTATCTGATGCTTGTGGTGGTAAGCTCGGTGTCTGAGACATGTTCTGTTAGTTAATACGAATGTAAAAACATGGAAAAAAAATATAAAATAAACAGACATGAAATATAAAATGCAAGAAATGCAATGCATGATGTATGCAATTGGAGGCATTGATCCAGAAAAGTGTTCATTATTATAAATAACCCTTGTTCAGACAAAAATGTCTTATCTTTTAAGAGACATAAAAACAGATTAAAGGTACATTTGGACTAAATCCTCTAGACCCCGAACAGCTTCCAGTAGGTTGACAAGTCTTCTGCCTTCATCTGTCACTGGTTGAATGCCTTGTCGAACCACACCCGCTTCCCTTGCTAGGCCGTGAAGATGACGGGCTGCTTTTTGCACTTGATCCAGGAAAACTCGGATGGTTGCGTCTCGGGCCCTCACCCTTCGTTGTGCTTGTTCCCAACGGAAACGCCATTGTAATCCTCCGTCGAAAGGCACCATCTGAAGCTCGTTTGCTTGCCTCTTGAACCCCTCTACAATAGCTTCTAACTCAGCTATTGTCTTGCCATCTTTCTCATGTCGTTCTTCTAAGTCAGCTATCCGAACTCTCAAGCGCTGGTTCTGATATTGACTATCTGCCAAGCGTCTTTGGGCAGTCTTCATCTGTTCCTTCCAAGCTTTCTCATCAGGCCCTTCAAACTTCCTTTTCAGGCTATGAGCCTCGTCTTTCCAGTATTCAGAGGTTACCTTCAACTTGGAGTTATCCTTGACTTTGTCTTGATACCCCTTTCTCAAGTCTTCAAGCTCAAAACGGACTCTTTTTTGTTCTTTTTCTAGTTTTTCTGCCCGATCTTTCTGAGAGTCAGCATCGAGCTTCCACTGATAACGTTCAGCTTCAAGTTCCTTTATCCTTTGCTTCAGCTCATTATTCACGGCTTCAAACTCGGTCTTGGCTATCTCGAGTTCAGAAGGGACATGCCTGAGATGTTCTTCCATGGTCCGGGTGTCATCACAGTCTGGCACAGGGATGTTGTCATTCTTTCTTAATCTTCGCCACTCCACATAATCCGGAGTGAGCATGCTTCTGGCAGCTACAACATCCATCCGGAATACTTTCCTCCATGAATCGGCTGCTTCTTTGATCATCTTTTTATAGCTGTCGCCGTGATACTCAAACTCTGACCTAGCCAACCCGCACGTTGCTGGGACAAACTGACGTGCTCCATATTGTCTAAGTGCTAATAGCGGAGCATACCCGACTGCTCCCCAAAGTCCAAGTAAGGTCACAGTGTCGGAGTCACCACATCGAAAAAGAACATCACTGAGGAATAACCAAGGGGCTCTCCAGACAATATCTTGGTCTTGAAGATGCGTAAAGACCTTCATCCATTTTTCTTTTGAAGCACCTTCATACCATTTTAAGGTAATAAATTCACCTAGAGGTGAATAGGTGGTGCTGAAACGGCGGTAGGCAACCCCGTCAGTCTTCCAGAAGTGGCTGTGAATCCAGACCTGAATGAGCTGAATGCACCCGGTGAATCTTCCTCCGCCAGTTCTTCGGCAATGGTTGAGCGATCGAAAGGTCTCAGCCAAGATGGTTGGTGCTGGGTTAACTCGTTTAGAAAGTTGCTCAAATAGTTCCACCACGGCAGCGTCAATGCACCCCAAAGCCTTCGGAAATATGATCAAACCGTACAGACCCAGTGCAAACAGGTCTATAGTCTTCCACTCATCAGGGTGGTTTTTCATTAGTTGCTTTATATGGATCCACTCGATTCCTTCCCCGCTACCTTTGTGCCGGAGTCGATCAGTCACCCACTTTTCATCAACCCCTGCAATCTTGGCCAGTCCGTTCTTGAAGGGCTGACTCTTGATATGTTTAATATATGCCCTCTCTAGTTTGATGCTTTCGCAGTGTAGTAGAGTAGTATACTCTTCGATAGTAGGCACCATGTCTTCCTGGTTAAAGGTGAAACAACTATATCCAGGGTTCCAGAATTGAATTAATGCTCGGAGTAAGGGCTCATCAGTCTTGACATGGAGCAAGAGGGCGATATCACCATATCGTTGGCTGAACTTCTGCTTTCTGTCATTTTTCCAACTGTCCCAAATGTTTCGCAGCTCTTGGGCATTATTCTGTTTCAGGCTGACAGCGGCATAACTAACCAGTTCTGACACATAGTTTCCCTGAAGACTGTCTCCCTTCTCTTTCTGAGCCTTCTCGGACCATAGTCGTGCCTCAGCGTTTTCAATCTCTTGTATTACAACACCTTTGTCCATTAATTCGAATTATTTTGTGTATAACAAACGCTTTTTAGGGATCAATAGCCTCTTGTAATGATGCAAATGCTAGAAAACAAACACAAAGGCAAAAAACGTTAGTAAAATAAAAAATGCAAATAAGAAATGACGGAAAAAAAAAAGCGCAAAAAAAACATGGTTAGGGTAAAAATATCCTAGGTTTTGGAACGTGGTTTCGGGGTAGGCTCTAATTCTTCATGGTCTCCCGGTTTAGGTTTTAAAAAACGGTACCCGAGTCCTCCTTGTCGGTGCCCCCTTGGGCTTGCCAGACCCTTAGTCCTAAACCCATCACAGGCTTGTGTGGACTAAGTTAAACTCGAGGGGACACATTCCCTTATGCCCGCACGGTGAATAAATTCACACGAAAACATAAGGTATATGAATCCCGAAGGCTACTTGCTAGGCCCGCACGGTGAATAAATTCACACGAAGGCGTCGCTTTCACCCCCACTTAAAATAGGAATTGGAGCTCGGGTATAGAGCCTTAAATGAAAAAACTTTGAAGTCTGAAATCATGAGAAAACGATTAGTCCAACTATTTACTCGAAAATATAATCAAAAGTAAGTAAAAAGGATCGAAATATTACCTTAAAATTTAAACTTACCATTTTCGTAAAAAGACAACTGGAAATTACCTTAGCCTGACTCGCTTACCTCAAAGTCCCCAGCGGAGTCGCCAAGCTGTCGGAACCGTCTTTCGGTTGGGCCCCGGGATTGGGCTTCGACTTGAAAATGTGGATTGATTGGGTTAGGAGTCGCCACCGATTATTTATTTAAGAATAAATAGGTTAACCGGATACCTTATTCCTTACATGATCTGCGTCTTACCAGAAATATGTCGGGCTCGGGAGTCGGTTACGGTCAAGGAAGGATTAGCACCCTTGAACTGCCCTTTCGGTACTACGTAATTTCCAGTTGTCTTTAAGTACGAAAGTCGAAAGTTTAAATGTAAAGGTAAAATTACAATCCAAACTGCTTACCTTTGATTTATGTGAAATCATCCTTAAAAAGGTCATGTAATGTGTTAGATAAAATGGAAATAAATAATGGAGAAAGTAAAAAAATGGATGGAATAAAGGAAGTAATATATATAATAAAGAAAAGAAATGTATAAAAAAAAGGTTGGGAAAAAAGAATATAATAAATGTGTGTAGAATATATATATATATATATATAATATGTAATAAAGTAAAAATAATAAAAATATATACATATAAAATATTAGATAAAAAAAATAATAATAAAATAAATATATACATACTAACTAAATAAATAAAAGTAAGAAAAAAAAAGTATAATATAATAAAAGCATATACGTACATACTTATGAAATATAATAGTGATGTATACATATACATTTAAACTAAAGTATTGAAAGAAGTGACAATAATAACGAATAATGAAAAATTAAGAATGATAAATGATAAAAATATATGGTTGACTATATATAATAAGTGCACTATTTAAATAAAAATAAGAGGGGGAAAAACGTGAAGGGACCAAATTGAACGGAAAATTGAATTTGGGATTGATTTAGAAGAAATTAGGAGTGAAATAAAAGCTTAGGAAGAAAGAGGGACTGAAACGGGTATTAACCCTCTTTTGAAAGGATACACGTGGATCCATTGCATGGAGCAGAACAGGCCATATATTTAGGTTAAAACCATTTTAACAATTCTCATTTACCCTTTTCATAAGCCGAGACCCTCCCCCTTTCTAAGTTCTCTGGGCCATTCTTCCAAGTGAAGAACACAGGCCCCGTTTTCCAGAAAACACCGCCTCGCGCCGCCTCATCGTCGCCGTTGAACGGTGACGGCCACCGTTCATCGGCGGCAAAACTTATATTTTTTTGTTCTTTTCGAAAGCTTTTCAAATTTCTTTTTCACCAATCGAATCTGTTTTTCAAAAATCAACCCGGAGGAGCATAGATCTAAAAATATTTCGGAAAAAAAAAAGGCCTCACTTCGTTCATCAACCAAAAACGTTTCTTTTGAGTTTTATTCGAACCACAACAATGAAGGAGATACGCATACAAGGTAAAAACGACAAACAAGGTAAGGAAACACTACCTCTTTATTTCCTTTCAAACTGATTACAATAGCTTCGAGTACTTCTATATTTCTCTGGTATTTCCGTAGGACTTTCGTGTGTTTTTTTTTTGTCTTCCCTCCCTCATAAATGGATTACATGTCTTATTTATAGCCTAGAATCTAAGTGTTTGACCCCTATTAGAACTCTAACTCCAATGTTTGTTGGCTTGTTATCTTCATGAAATCCTTGCGCCGGAGGAATCGGAGTTGTGGGGGATGTGAGACGGGTGGCCGTGAAACTCGGAAAGGGAGGCGAGGGAGCTTGTGGCGTAGAACAGAACACTGCCAGGGTTAGGGTTCCTCACGGCTGTTGAACTGGGCTTGGTTCGTTTGTTGGGTTGCATGTTCAGGCCTGTAAAAAAACGAAATTAATAATATTAACATTATATGGACGCAAATCATGTGTTTACACCTGCCACTAAAGCTCAACTCTACGGAGCTTCCCGCCCTCTCTACCGTCCACAACCGAATCGCCACCGCCGCTCCTGCTGTTGTTCTTGTTGCCTTTGGACCACCATAGCTATCCTCATCCTCCTAGCCGCCATAGCCGGTGCTATCCTATACGTCCTTTACCGCCCCCACCGCCCCACTTTCGCAGTTTCCTCCCTCAAAGTCTCAACCCTTAATATAACCTCAGCCTCCAAGCTGATCACCAACATCAACCTCAACGTCGAAGCCAAAAATCCTAACAAAAAACTCGTCTACAGTTACGACCCAACCACCATATCTATTACCACAAGTGAAGACATCGATATCGGGGATGGTTCTTTCGGTTCCTTCGTGCATGGGACTAAAAACACGACCCTTTTGAAAGCAGCCATAACCAGTAGCAACCAAGAACTCGATGACACGTCGGCTGGCAAGTTAAAGACCGCTTTGAAGACAAAGAACGGGCTGCCATTGAAGATTAAGCTCGAAACTAAAGTGAAAGCGAAGATGGGAGCATTGAAGACACCAAAGCTTAAGATTATGGTGACTTGTGAAGGGGTTAAAGTTACTGTTCCGAAGGGGAAATCGGCAACCACGGCTTCAACTTCCAATGCAAAGTGTAAGGTTGATTTGAAGCTCAAGATCTGGAAATGGACGTTCTGATCGATGTGAATTTGAGAAAGATGAAGAAAAAGGGTTGATGTTTATTTTAGTTTAGTTTTTATCTTTGCTATTTACCATGTTCTTTAGCTTTGTATTATTATTATTATTGGCTGATGAATTGATGATGTTTTGCGCGAAAATTGTAATATATGCTTTTTTTCTTCTTATTCAGTAAATTTTATTTTGCCATAATAATATGTTTTTAGTGGTAGCCGTGTCGTTACCGAATATGAAAGAGAGAAATAAGCAATGATGGATTGGTTTGGTGCATATAATTCATACAGTATGAGCGTCGGTGGGAAATTTTTAATTATTTTTGAGGTGTAGGGTCCCAATCTCAATTCTCAAAGCTTAGTTAGCTTTCCTGGAAAGGACCTTCGTTTTTCTCCTCGGAAGGAACAAAATGGAAATACATGTACAATATAACATACGGATGACAAAAAATTAGTTTGATGGATGGTTAGTAGACTTATTTTTTTTCCAAAAAGAGGTTAGGTTTATGTTAAATATTTTTTTAATATAAATTTTTGTCATTAAACATAAAATAAATAAAACATGTCTCATTTTTAATGCTATTTGTGGAAAAAAAAACTATCAATGCTCGTTATGATAATTATATATATATACATACATATTAGTTAATTTTATATAAAACATAATTAATTAAATCTTAAACTCAAGTTAAATCAGGCACCGGCGGAATCAACATACAAATATGACACCTAAAACATTTTGATTTTTTATAGATTTTATTAGTATTAAAAAATTAAATTTATTAATAATAGAAGTTAGAGAAATTATTTATCAACATGTAATATCATTATAAGTTTAAATTGAGATATTTTTTGATAAAATAAATATCAAACTTATATTTAGAAATATAAAGAATGATGAATTAAAATTTTCAGAGTTTTACCGCCGCCCTCGTCAACCAACAGATAAGTAGTAGACGATGATGAAGAATTTTGATTGAATTATAAAGTTGATATAATATTTAGCTTTTTTAGGAATATAAAAATACAATTTTAAAAATAGATAAATACTTTGTCTAAAATTTTAGAATCAAATAAAATAATAATTTTTTCGATAATTAAAGAAATCTTACATCTAAACTAACTTCTCCAACTGCAACCCTCCTTGGTTAGAATACCATGTAGTTCCACTGACGGTGTGAAAATTTTATGACATTGTATGACCTCACCTGGAGCTAACTTGACCGTGTTATATGCTACTTGATTTCCTTCACAACGTACGTGGGTCATCTTGATCTCCCAATTTCTCTTCAACAGCTCTGCTCATTTCCTCAACTAATTTTGGACTACGATCTGGTGTTGATTCTCTTTCAATATTGTCTTGATAAATAGTTATTTATTTATCTGCTTTCAAATGTTTCATGTAATGGCTCCAAATAATATGTCCCAGGCTTCATCATTCCTTGCGAAGTAAGTGGGGCTAGCCACACATTCGTCCTTTTTATTTTTAATTTTTCCATGTGCTTTATTTTTATGGAAAGTGATAATATTGTTATTTTAATGTAATAAAAGGATAAGAAAAAGATTGCTATAGTTCTCCAAAAGTATAAAGAAGCAACAGGCCCAAGATCAAACATTTGGATTAGTGAGTGGCCATTTTCATTTTGGACTCGATCTGGAACAATCTGGATTCAATCGTTTCATCTCCATTTTGTTATTCAGATAATGTGACTGAAAACCCCGAACTTAGCTAAAACCCTACTATTTTTTAACTTGGAAGCCTTAAGAACTTCAGCGGAAGCTCACTTTGAAGTCTCACTTTTGATCATTCTCGTTGCGTATAATATAACCCATCTCGCTCATGTATCGAGTAGCTTCAAAATTAGCTTCATCTGTTAGGTAATGCATCCAGCGGATCACATTTGGTTCATGTCAATTCCTGTCAATGAGTTTTTTTTTGTATTTATTTTATTTATCTAATCAATTATCTTTATCTTTTATTATAAGAGTTACTCGAGTTCGAGAAAACTGGTAAGAAATCATAATATCTTGATTTTTCTTTCATTTTGATTTCTGTTTGTGTGGTGAGGAAGTGTGTGAAATAGGACTGAAATTAAAAATACAACAATTTTCTAGGACCCAATAGTTGCCTTTTCCTTATATAAATAAATGCTTTTGGATACTTTTGTAACAATGGAGTTTTAGAGATGGGTCATTAAATAGTTAGAAGGGTTTTCGTTTCTTTTTCTTAAAGTGAAAATATTTGTATATTTGGATTTAATTTTGATGGATATGAATGAATCTTAACCTTTATTTGCTCTGGTTGCTTGATAATTTACAGTTTTGTAGTAGGGTGATTTGCAGCAGGAACTATGTGGCAAAAGATATCAGTTTTGGAGTTGGGGCACGGGCGGCTATGCTGCAGGGTGTGTCTGAGGTTGCAGATGCCGTGAGAGTCACAATGGGACCAAAGGTAATAGACATGAAAGTAGATTGAGAGATCAAATTTATGCTTACTATTATGCCTTGTCATAGTATTCATTCTGATCTATTGATTCAGGGCCGTAATGTAATTATTGACAGTAGTCGAGGTTACCCTAAAGTCACAAAGGATGGCGTTACTGTTGCCAAAAGCATCAAATTCAAAGATAAGGCTAAAAATGTTGGTGCAGATCTTGTAAAGCAGGTTGCAAATGCCACCAATAGAGTGGCTGGAGATGGTGATTTCTATTATTTCCAACCTTGTTCCTTAAATGTGTTCTAACTGAACATCGATCAATCAAATGTACCAATGCTTTCAGACAAGACATTCATCTTAGAAAACTGTTTTTTGGGATTTGTACCCAAAAGCAACTCCTTTTTCAGCAAAACAAATTATGCTTAAGACAACTCAAATAAGTCTTCATTCCATGTTAATATGAATTAGAGTCTCCTTGGATAGGAATCTGCTGTTACAAAATATTCTTGGAAAGTGTGGCATAAATAATCTGGATTCGTTTAAAGTCTTTGACTCCATTTAAGAATCTAGAATCCTAGATATGCAGGGCGTCTATGGATAGAATAAGTGAGCGATCTCTATAACATTCAGGTTCAAAGCATGGATGGGTTCAGTTGTATTTGTAGCGTGACACATGAGGAAACCTTTAGTTTTTATTACAGAAATGACATTTCTTTGAAATCTCTCCCATAATATCTGAAAGATTGTTGAAGATCTGTAACCATAATGCATCTCTGTTCACAGGTACAACTTGTGCAACTGTCCTAACTCAGGCAATTCTTTTGGAAGGCTGCAAGTCATTGGCTGCAGGTGTAAATGTGATGGACTTGCGAAAAGGAATTAATATGGCAGTTGATACTGTCATATCTGACTTAAAAGGCAGGGCAGTAATGATAAGCACTCCGGAAGAAATTACACAGGTTTGTTGATGTGGGCTCTGTGGCTCTTTATCTCTTATACCCTTGATTTATTCTGCATTAAATTGTTTTTGGTATGTAACGTATGTTTTAAATAGGTTGCCACTATTTCTGCAAATGGGGAACGTGAAATTGGAGAACTAATAGCAAGAGCAATGGAGAAAGTTGGGAAGGAAGGGGTCATTACGGTCACTGTAAGTCCAATTTTCTTTTTTTAACATTATTTTAATGATGATAAAATTTTGAATAATAATGATTACTTCTTAAACCACATTTAATTTGGTGTATCTAATGTTTTCCTTAAATTTTAGGATGGGAATACTTTAGACAATGAATTAGAAGTGGTGGAAGGAATGAACCTAGGCAGAGGCTATATCTCTCCTTACTTTGTTACTGATCAGAAGACCCAGAAATGTGTAAGCCCTTTGTATCCTTTTTCCAGTAGTTTTTACTTAAAATAGTTGTTCATTGGACCAAACTGCAGTTTCCAATGTAAAACCCATGCTCAAAAGTATTATTCTTCTCTTATTTTGATGTTGTCAGGTTGGAGGAGGGGCCTCACAGTAAAAATCATAAATCGTTTCCCTTTTCTTTGCTTACTTAATTTGAAGATCAGATTATTGCTATATCAAAGGTTTAGTTCATAGTTCGTCTTTGCATGCTAATGCAAAAGACTATGCACTTTTAAAAGCTTACAAATTTGACCTACCTTATGTCCTTAACCTTTTTGCTTCCTTTTTTCCTGTTACATATAGCATACAAACCTCTACTGATTGTAATAACATCACAAGCATGTAAAAAAAAAATTGATTTAAAGAGGCTTTAATTTTTTGTTGGCAGGAACTTGAGAATCCCCTGATTCTCATTCATGACAAGAAAATTTCAGATATTAACTCGCTTGTGAAGATACTGGAGCTGGCTATAAATGTAATTCATCTGAGGACTCTTTTACATTTATGATTATAAGTAAAGCACATTGTGAATTTCCTCATTCTCTTCTTCAATTTGAACAGAAAAGCAGACCACTTCTTCTTGTGGCTGAGGATTTGGAGAGTGATGCACTTGCTTTACTTATTCTCAATAAGCATCATGCTGGATTGAAGGTAAGTAATTGTCTGAACTCTGGCTTTGCTTTAAGTTTACTTTTCCATGCATCAAACGGTACAAAATGTTTTAAGGCTTTTAGTGAATATGACATCTCAACCTTATTAATTGTGAAATCTTATGTATTTAGGTGTGTGCCATTAAAGCTCCTGGTTTTGGGGATAACAGACGGGCAAATTTGGATGACCTTGCCATTCTTACCGGTGGAGAGGTATACATTCTCATTACTCTGGTATTTTCCTTTAATAATTTTGTAGTCATTATTAACTATCAAAACTACAGGTTATCAGTGAAGAACGCGGCTTAACTCTCGACAAAGTCAAAGTTGAAATGCTTGGTACTGCAAAAAGGGTATGCATGTATCTATATAACATGCCTGATTTTTTTTTCTTTCTTCTGCAATTGACCAAATTTATGACAGATCACTGTCTCACTTGATGACACGATAATTCTACATGGGGGAGGAGATAAGAAGCTGATTGAAGAAAGATGCGAGGAGGTATTTTGATGCCCCATTTGGTTGTTTCTTCATCTTTTTAAAGCTTCAACTCATTTTAAATGCCATTCTATTTATACACTACTATGCATGTGCTTGTACTATATAATTTTTGGGGGGTTTGGGTGTGGGGAGTGCAACTGTTATCCATTTGTGCTCTTATGATCCCTGTTTTCCTTTTTTGGCCTTATGATTCTTGAAAACATCTACAGTTGAGGACGGCCATTGAGAAGAGCACTGCCATGTTTGGAGCGACTGTCAAAACTATCTGGAGGTGTAGCTGTTTTCAAGGTCTAGAATTAATATTTCTATGTTTCAAGTGGCATGTGCATCATAAGCCGTCAAAGGTGAGTACTTATTAGTTGTTTTCTCAGGTTGGTGGAGCTAGTGAGGCAGAAGTTGGAGAAAGGAAAGATAGAGTCACAGATGCTTTGAATGCTACCAGAGCAGCTGTGGAGGAGGGTATTGTGCCAGGTGAAGAACTTCTCCTTTTTGGGTTTCACAGAGAAATGTTTCTTCAGGTCATAACGTAAATACATTTTTTGTTAGGTGGTGGTGTTGCTCTCTTGTATGGTACAAAGGCTTTGCAGAATCTTCAAACTGAAAATGAAGATCAAAAAAGAGGCGTTCAGATAGTTCAAGATGCTCTTAAGGTTTTGTTTCTGACAACTCTATACATGCCTTCCTGATCTCATTATAATGTTTAGTACCTCACTGTATCAATGACTGCACTTTAGGCACCGACTTTAACTATAGCTTCAAATGCTGGTTATGATGGCTCTCTTGTTCTTGGCAAACTACTGGAACAAGATGAAGATAAGTTGGGTTTTGATGCTTCAAAAGGTTTGTTTCTTTCAATCTTATGAAAATACTCGTTTCCAGCCATATAATTTGATCTTAGTTTCGTCAAGTTATACTGCATACTCTCAGATTCTCTCATTAACAGACATACACTTGCAATATTTAGTTTTCTAAAAGTGCCCTTCAGCTGTTTTCTTTTAGGAGAACCCACAGACCCTCTGCCCTGATCATTATCTTGTTTGGTGTGCCAAAACAGGTACATATGTTGATATGGTGAAAGCTGGAATCATTGACCCTCTAAAAGTCGTTAGAACAGCTTTAGTCGATGCTGCCAGGTGAAGATCTTGTTACAAATATGTGCTTGCTTATACACAATCGTTATATAAGTTTAACCAAACAAAAATGCTTTTTGTTCGCAGCGTCTCATTGCTATTGACGACAACCGAGGCATCTGTCCTGGAAAATCCAGATGAGAAAAAACCACCAAGTCGTATGCCAGACAGAGATAATGACTACTAGGTAGTGTGCCCCCTTGTATGATTGCTTAACAATTTGTGGCATTCTGCTTAAAATAGCAGAGAACTTAAATTGAATTTGAGAGCCAAGGTTGGAGTTTGATGAACTCTTAAGAGAAATGCACGAGGACGGAAACCAAATTATAAACGAAAAGATAATAGGACACACAATTCTTGGTGTCATTGCAAAACCAGTAATCTTGGGTTTTTGTTGGTTAAAAAGGGAAATAGTTATCTTTATTGCAACTCTGGTTCCTTTCTTATCCCTGTTTTTCTATGCTACGGTGGATGGTCTTTTTGGGTTTAATGGATCTTTGGATCCGTGGCATCCTTGGAACTAGCGGTGATCAAAATTCAATTTGATTTGGAAATTTTGTTTTTTTTTTAATTTTAAATTGTTTAAGCAACTCAATCTTTTGGTTGGGATTTTAAACTTAAGTTAAATTTGAATTTATGAAGTTAGAATAATAAAAAAATTATCTTCTTTCTAAATTAAATTATTTATTATATAATTTGATTGTTGTGATTTGATTCTTAATTTTCTTATTTGCTAATTGTTTTTTGTTTTATATTTTCTATTACATTTGAATCACATTTTTTCAAGTATTGTTAAATATTTATAAAATTTCAGTTTTTTAATAAAAATTATACTACCTCTGTCCCCTAAAACTGTTCTTTATTGAACTTTTAAATGTCAAAATATTTTTTAAAAAATTTGATCATGATTATATTAAATATTTTAAAAAAATAAATTTTATTAAATATATATTCTAAAATTACTTGATTAAAGGTTTTTAAAATATATTTTTATATTTTTATTTGAAATAAATTTTAAATTATAATGAGCCAAAGTTGAAAAATTTTGAACAAAAAAATCAATAAGAGATAATTTAAGTGGGACAGAGGGAGTATTTATTTTTTTATATTTTTTGAATTCATTAAGTGATCTTATTGCAAAATTAAATATTTTTTTTGAAGGATATTAGTTTGATTAATTAGATTTGATTAGTTACATTTATAGATGATGTGTTATTAATAGGTTATGAATTTAGTTAAATATTAAATTTTATATTTAAATATTTCACTAAACTAATTTAACAAATTGAAATAGTAATTGAATAAAATTTAATTTAATCATAAAATAATACTAAATTATTATATCAGAAAAATGATAAGAATGTAAACTGTTCTTTTTGAATGAGAATAAGTAATGAAGGACAAAGATAAACAAAGATTAAATTATTAGATTATTTTAAATTTAAATTAAATTAATAAATTATATAAAATTTTAAAGATTAAAATTATTATTACATCAAATAATGTTTATTATCAGTCTATATTTAATTTTAATTATATATTTGTAATAATCTTTTAACTAAATTGTCTGTTTATAATCTGCAAAAGAAAAATGACTATTTGTTAATAAATTTATAATTATATGACCTTGGGTGTAGTTTACCATTTATACAAAGATCACACCTCATCTCATCAGTATATATATTTATTACGATTTTTTCCCTTTCATTTCTCTTATTACACTCTCCAGACTATTGGCAGAAGGACTCGATCGAAAATATATTTCTCCGTAAATTTTAAGGTTCGGTTTCTCCTTTCTCTTGTCTTGCCTGTTATATGATCTGGGATTGTTTCTGTCTGTTTTTTTTAATTATCTATATTCGCCTTTAATCTAACGTTTGATAATGAAGAGGAAACAGAAGGGGGAAAGTAAATTTCTTTAGCTGGGGTGCGGATAGGTGGGCATTACAGTTTATTTGATTTTGGGAAAGTGGATTCTAAACCAGAACTGATTTTGGCCTTTGGAATCAAAATTGATATTTTTTCAGGATTTGTGGTCCTTAATCCTTATGAAAAATTAACAGCTTGCAGTTCTTGTATAAATTTTGAGGAGAAAATACGAATTTTAGTTTTTGTTATTTAGATTGATTTGCTTCTTTTTTCAGATTGTTGAAAACTTGCCTACGTGAATTGGTGGTTGCTTCTTGCTTCTTTTGCAACTAGGTTTAGCATTGAAGTGCTTTCAAGGCTGTAGAACCGAAGTCTGCCCGTGTTAATTAGTTACCGCTTATCCTTAGATAAGTAGTTTTCTTGTTTATTAGTCAACAAAATTCTAATCTTTCCAACACTTTCCAAGAATAACAAGTTTGCCCTCTCATGGTCACTACTTGTCACATGGTCTTCTTCTACTATAATTTTTCAACGAAGATGGCATGACTGATCATCTAGGGTCGAGGTGCTTTAGATATGAGTCGAACTACAACTGTTCTAATCTGAATGTTGGTATCTAGGAATTCTTGATCTTCATCATGTTCAACAATCTGGCAGATTATTTCAGTCATATGGCTTTTTTGGTCTCAGTAAGCAGTGCTGTTGAAGTTTAAAATCTGTAATCTCACATTCCAGTCCGGGATACATGGATGTTTTAACTCATGTTGCTTTGGTTGATGTATAAAACTGTGGTGAAAATTTCCATCTAAAAAAGGGCGAAAAAGTAAAATATTAGACTGTTCGGAACTCAGGCAACCAAACAAAAATTATGTGTGACGAGTATAAGCTACAGGATGTGTGTATAGCAGTTTCGTGAGATTTTCTATCCGTTTGCATTTTTAATCATTTCATGCATAGCAAACATCAAAGTTTTAGCGGTTAGATTTACCAGATATATTTACAGTTTTTATATTTGTTTGAATGAGAATAGACATTTGAATTTTTGTAATATTGGAAAATTTGCAGATTCTTCGACAAAATATGGCCGTGAAACCAACAGTAGCATTGAGGGCTTTCCTTGTCGGAGGGATAGCTGTTTTTGCTAAAGTAGCTGGGGCAATGAAGGCTGCGGGTGGTGCTAAGCTAGGTGCAGCCGCAGCTGCCATGACCGTTGCAGCATCTGCTGCTATGACAGGATCAAAACACGACCCAAATGACGTGTCTAAGCAACCACCAAAATGATATGCCTTTTTTTTCCCCTTTCTTTCGGAAGCTTGTAGACATTTGTATTGTAGGTAGCATAGTTGACTGCTCACTGGAGCTTGTCAAGAGCAGATGGCTATGCTTGGAATTCTAGTTTTGGTCGTTACTTTTGAAATCACATGAAATAAGAAAACCAGCACTTTTTTATTTGAATTAAGCTATATTGGTATTTAAGTTGAATTGTGAATATTTCTCATACCCAAATGCACATTCCCTGTGGGAAATGGAAACAATCTCAAGTAGTTGCAGCCTTAATGTATCTGATGTTAACTACTAGCATTCCCATTTTACCAAGCTTGTGATTCAGGTGGTGATATTAATGTTGATGATACCATACAAAAAGTAGGAAACATCACACATGGGATTTAGGGGATATATTGTGCTTTTATCCCACCATGCCATGAAAACCTCATCTCATGCCCACACCATTTCCTTCATTGATAATATTATTATCTCCTCCCCGAGCGAGAAGAACTCCATGTGTGCAAATAACAAAACATGCCATTCTTTTAAACTGATGGATGTTAAAAAAGAAAAGTTGTCAAAAATTGCACACTGCAACATGTTTTCTTACTCTTTAATTTTCTCTACACATGGAAGAGAGATATAAAGAAAGGGAAGAAAAGGATGAACATGCATGCCTTACACTCCAACACATGATATCGAGAACAAAAGTGGGGAATTTAGATTTGTTTCTTTCTTTACTTTTTACTTTTATATATTATCTAAACAAAAAATGTAATGACAGATGCCTTAGGAACTATCAAAGTTAGCTCGTACATATGTTTAAATTAACCTAACATATCAAGATTTATTTGGGATAATCATCTTTTCTCCCACAGGCCACAGCCCTCTATTATTGTAAAGGTTAATCATCACTGTTGTTATGGTAGGTTAATAATACCTCACTTCGATAACATTCCCACTTGATTAGCTACTCTCCACCCGCCTCCCCGCCCTCCTCTAGATCTATCCCTAAATCCTGATTACCCGCCCTCCTCTAGATCTATTCCTAAATCCAGATTAACCAAGATAAAATCATAGAGAATCAAGAGGACAACAAAAAAAAATTTCTTCTAAAAACCACATGAAATTAATATATATATATATATATACATATAATGAGGCCAAATACTATAGGCAGAGAGAGGACCTTTCCTCGGGATTGAATCCAGCATTTGCACCCACACCAGGTGTTGGACACCATTTTTTCCCTCGAAAAAACTATATACATATGTCACGACCATCTTTCGGGTTGGGCTCGGAATTGAACTTCGAGTTAGGAAAATTGATTAGGAGTCACCACCGATCATTTTAAAAACATTTAGGTAAATCAGATACCATCTTACCTGATCTGCGTTTTACCAGAAATGTGTCGGGTTCGGGAGTCGGTTACAGTCAATGAAGGATTAGTACCCTTGTACTGCCCTTTCCGTACCAATTAATTGGTCGGTTATCTTCATAGCGAAAATTAAAATTTAAAAATCCGATTTGAATTGCTTACATTCGATTGATTAAAAAAATCCCATAAAAGTAAAATATTGGTAGATTGTAAAATAAAAATAAATATGAAAAACGAATTAAAAAATATTAATATAATAACAATAATAAAATAAATAAAGTAGATAAATAAATATAAATAAGATTGAGTAAAAAAAACTTAAAAATAAAAAACAAATAAAAACGACATAAATTAAAAAGCAAATTCAAAAGTTTGTTATTGACATGGCCACCACTTTGTTTGATTGGCAGCAGAGACATGTATAGCACGATCATTCCACTCTAAGTCCTTCCACTGATCCCCAATGTCATCGTAATAGAAAAGCATCACGGTGAAATTATTCTGTGGAAACTTCTTGATCATCTTGTTGACATTTTCTTTTTGCTTTATGCCAACTGCAATGGCTAACAAGCCATTGGACAACTTTGGCTTCTTCTTACTCTGTAGACCCCATAATGGCAACATTTCTAAGTCAGATGTTTCGGAAATAATTCCTCTAGGCAATGCTTCACTTCCATAGGCCCTGCATTGTCTTTTATTGTAGGCTTTCATGTTCTTTTCATACTCAACCTTTCGCTTCTCTGCCCTTGCTATATAAGGTGCTTTTTCAGCATCAGACAAGCCCTTCCATTTATCTCCACCGGCTTTACCGACAGCGGCAACAGATTTTTTTTAAGGTCTTCCTTTTTGTATTGCACACAGAACTCCTCCATGAAAATGAAGAAGGCACTAGCAGGCCTCTTCGGCTTGTTTGGATCCTTGACTGCCTTCCCCGCTTTCTTTCCAGCTTTGGCGGTTGATTTCTTGTTAGGGGTGGGAATAAGCCAGGCCAGGCTAGGCTTTAATAGGCCTGGGCCTGGCCTACAATGATTTGTGTAGGTCTGGCCTGTGGCCTGTCAAAGGCTTTTATTTAGGCTTGGCCTGTTTAAAAGCCTATTTAAAAGCCTGTTTAACAATAAACATTTAATATTTTCAGTTTAGCCATTAATTTTAGAATAAAATCCCTATTAAGTCACTCTAACTTAGTACATTTTACAAAGTAGTCACTCTAAATAGGCCGACCTATCAGGCTTATAAGGCTTTTTAATATGCCTAAGTCTGGCCTGTTTAGTTAAATAGGCCTTTAAAAAGGCCTGGGCCTGGCCTGTTTAGTTAAATAGGCCTTTAAAAAGGCCTGGGCCTGGCCTGTTTAGTTAAATAGGCCAGGCCAGGCCAAGCTTTATACAGGCTAGGCCCAGGCCCCTGTAGGCTGGCCTGGCCTATTCCCACCCCTATTTCTTGTTCACTGCTAGCCTGCCACTCTTAGCATCTGACTTGGATTTACCTCCCTTCATGTTGAATCCCGATTAGTAAGGTAGGGTTAGGGCTGAGGGGATATAGAAAGAAAACAAGAGAGAGAGAGAGAGTGGTCCGGCGAGAAGGGCGGAGTAGCTTGCTTCGGCGGTTTCACGCCGGAGTCATCGTCTAACGTAGATTCCAGACTCTGATAAAAAAGGCCATGACACATCTCACTCAATCCAATTCCTTTTTTGCCTTTTTTATTCCCCCCTTTTTTATTCGTTTGTGCATGTCTCCCTCCGCCACCCTTGCCAATCTAAAGTTGAAATAAATAGCCCTGCCTTCAGATTCCTACTTTTCTTTTTGAGAGAAAAAGAAGGAAACATATGTGTGTTTAGTTGAGACGTGTGAGGTGGGGTTGGTAACTAATTGGGTAGTGGTTTAGTGGTTTGTTTGTTGGAAATGGAGGCATGCAAAAAATAATTATAATATATAAATTAATAAAATAATAATAATAATAATATAATATAATAATAATATAATATAATGTTTTCGTAGACCCGAAAAAAATGGGTGTCTACAGCTGCCCATCTTTGCATATTTTTGTGTTAACAAGAATAGGGCAAAGATGAAAAAGACAACAAGTTTTTGTCCGGTTCTCTTTGATTTTAGACTTGATAGTGTTTGTTGTGACACTAAGTCAATCCATTAGGCACGATATCCTTCGTCGTGAAGTTGAAATCGTGAATGGCTTATTCGTTGTGAAGTTGAGCTTTGAATTGGATATCCTTCGTCGTGAAGTTGAAATCCAATCTAAAAGTGAATGTTGTTGGTGAGCACGATTCCCTTCGTCGTGAAGTTGAAACAGTGGATGGCCCATTCGTTGTGAAGTTGAGCCTTGAATTGGATATCCTTCGTCGTGAAGTTGAAATCCAATCTAAAGATGAATATTGCTGGTGAGCACGATTCCCTTCATCGTGAAGTTGAAACCGTGGATGGCCCCTTCGTTGTGAAGTTGAGCTTTGAATTGGATATCCTTCGTCGTGAAGTTGAAATCCGAGGGTTGCATTGCTTCTTATGGGCACGATATCCTTCGTCGTGAAGTTGAAATCATGGATGACTCATTCGTTGTGAAGTTGAGCCTTGAATTGGATATCCTTCATCGTGAAGTTGAAATCCAATCTAAAGATGAATGTTGCTGGTGAGCACGATTCCCTTCGTCGTGAAGCTGAAACCGTGGATGGCCTATTCGTTGTGAAGTTAAGCCTTGAATTGGATATCATTCGTCGTAAAGTTGAAATCCAATCTAAAGATGAATGTTGCTGGAGAGCACGATTCTCTTCGTCGTAAAGTTGAAACCGTAGACGACCCCTTCGTTATGAAGTTGAGCCTTGAATTGGATATACTTCGTCATGAAGTTGAAATCCAATCTAAAGATGAATATTGCTGGTGAGCACGATTCCCTTCGTCGTGAAGTTGAAACCGTGGATAGCCCATTCGTTGTGAAGTTGAGCCTTGAATTGGATATCTTTCGTCGTGAAGTTAAAATTCAATCTAAAGATAAATGTTGCTGGTGAGCACGATTCCCTTCGTCGTGAAGTTGAAATCATGGATGGTCCTTTCGTTGTGAAATTGAGCCTTGAATTGGATATCCTTCGTCGTGAAGTTGAAATACAATCTAAAGATAAATGTTGCTGGTGAGCACGATTCCCTTCGTCGTGAAGTTGAAACCGTGGATGACCCCTTCATTGTGAAGTTGAGCCTTGAATTGAATATCCTCTGTCGTGAAGTTGAAATCCAATCTAAAGATGAATGTTGTTTCGAGTCCAATATCCTTCGCCGTGAAGTTGAAATTGGCTCTAAATGAAACTGGGAAAGTTGTTTTGTCGTCAGACAGTTGCCCCTCCGCTGTGAAGTTGAGCAACCACCATCAACTTTTTAATGTGCTTTTGAATCGAGTATCTTTCGTCTTGAAGTTGAAACTTGACTAAAAAAGCTGCAAAAAAATTATGTATGCTAAAAATGATAAATGTGATGCTCTTAAGTATGTCTAAGGTGCATGCAACATGAATTAATTGTGTTTTATCCCTTGGATGGAGCCTCATTTTTATCTGCTGGTCTTGTCCTTGGAATCAACAATGTCCCATTTTCTTCTCAGGTTGTTGACGATGTCACAAGTTATATTTGGTCTCTCAAACTGATTATTTTCAAGATCATTGTTCGTTCTTTCTTCAATAGAGGCAAAATGAGCCTCAACAGCTTCCAAGACTCTTCACATTTGATATTGTCCTGTTTGAAAATGTTTTTCTCCTTTCTCGTATTTTAAGAGGGAAAAAAGATATAAAAATGTAAAATTTTTGTAAAATATTGCCAC